TCAAAGTGGTTAGGATAGATATATAGTTACATTCTCTTAAAGAATAGAGGGATTTGTTCTAATGGTGTTAGGATATCATGTCCGCATCTTGTACAGCAGTTACTCACTAGGAAGAATGTATGCAATGTGTTAATTATTGAAACTGTCCTACCAAGTTGGTTTGAAACTGTCTCATTGCTATTTGTTTATCAATAAAATTATGGGAAAAAAATAAAAAATAAAAATAAAAAAGACAAAAAAAATCCTAAAGTACATCAAATTGTACACCTAAATGATACTACTTATGCCAAGCAAAAATATGTTACAAAAAAGAAAAAAGGAAAATTTTAATTGAAATCTTAGTAAGGTAGTTGTAAATACTTACTATTTTATTTAGGACAGGGTGTATAGGTTCTTACTGTGTAGGTCAAACTCGTAGTGATCCTCCTGTTTGCAACCTCCCAAGTGCTGAGATTACAGGCACGCCACCATGGCCAGTCTCAGTTGTGGGCTGACCACACCCCAGGCACAGGGCCAGCACAGCAGGCCCAGGATCGAACTCCTGGCCCCTGCATCTGCCTAAGCAGGTTCTTTAATCCTCTCAGCCATTTGGCTGGCCCCATTGTAAATACTTTATACAGCTATAAAAAATAATGCAGAGTTCCCAGTTTGACCAATATTCCCTAGTTGGAACATTTTGGAAAAAAAAAAAAAAAAAAAGTCTAACATTACAGCTGGATATGGGTGTTGATACAACTCACTCATTGTATTGAGATTGCTGTCATTTTACTTGCACTTGGGTCTGTGTGTATTTATTTTTTTTTTACAATTTTCTTCTCTTGGAAGTTGTTTTGTCTACCACAGTTAACATACTGAGCAGTCACTTTACCTAGGATCCGTGGTGTTGTCCTTTGTAATCATGGCTGCTTCCTTTCCACCCTGTCCCTTATTCCCCTACCCTTTTTCTACCCCTAATTGTCAGCACCCTCTCATCTGTCCTTTTCTTAAGTCTTCTCATTTTGGAAATGTTATGTAAATGGACTTACATAGTATATAACCTTTTGGGATTGACTTTTTTTCCATTGAGATTTGCCCAAGAGTTGTCCCTTTTATTGCTGAGTAGTAGTTGATAATATTAAAGAATCAATGGGTTTTCTTTTTTTTTTTTTTTTTAACATTTTATACATTGAAGGAGATGAAACTAATTTCAGTTTTTGACAATACCAAATGAAATTGCTGTGAACATTTGTGTATAGCTTTTTGTGTGAACATAAGTTTTCATTTCTTAAGGAGGATGAAGAGTGCTATGGCAGCTGTATTTTAGTTTTACATGAAAGTATCAAACTGTTATTCAAAGCGGCTGTGCCATTTCACGTTCTCACTAGCACTATGTGAGTGATCCAGTTTTTCTGTGTAGCATTTGGTGGTATCACTATTTTTATTTTAGCCATTTAAAAGTTAAATATCCAAAGCTTAGCATATTTTAAAAAGTCACAAATTAAATTAAAAATATTTGGTCACTCCTATTTGAACTCCATGTTTTAGAATTAATGTTGTCGAGTAATCCAAGGAAGCATTCTCTGCATTGGAGCGTGTTCCATTTGCTCTCCCCTTGCAGAGGTGGGTGCTCTACGCAGGGTTCTGCCTGAAGCTCTGTCACATAGATTCCATGCAGACGCAGTACTGAGATGCAATCTTTAGAACTTCAGCTAGATCACTTGTAAAATCTGAATCTTTTAAAATTTTATTACTACAAATTTTTGGCATAAGATGCCATAGTTATCTTACTGTGCATGAATCAAGAGTTCTTTGTATTTTACTTCATTGTTTTTAATCTTTAAAATTTCAGTTTTTGTAGTTTGTAGCAGTTGGATTGCTTGGCCATATGGAGCTGGACTAGCAGTAGATACCTGACACTCCTTGTACATAGGTTGTATGTGGAGTCAGTCCTATTTCATTTCATAGATGGTTTATTTTATTTCCTTTATCAGGGGAAATTGTCTAGATCCTGTGAGCAGTTAGCACTCATGTGTGATTGAGTGGGATCTGTAAAGCAGAGGGCGTATTTCTGGTGGATAGGGTATGTGAAACATGTACATCTAGCCTTCCTTAGTTTGGCATTTCCTAGAAAAACATTTTTTCTTACCAAGTTAAAATAAATGTTTTATAATTGTTACAAGTACATTGCACATCTCTCTATTCCCATTCCACTTCTCTTGTTTTCACCTAATGGAGAACTTTTAAGTAATGTTAATTTTATTTTGTATATTAACAGGTGACGGTTAAAGGATTTGAACCTTTAATTCAGTTTGCCTATACAGCTAAACTAATATTAAGTAAAGACAACGTGGATGAAGTGTGCAAGTGTGTGGAATTTTTAAGTGTACACAATATTGAGGAATCCTGCTTTCAGTTTCTCAAATACAAGTTTTTAGACTCCACTGCAGACCAGCAAGAATGCACAAGAAAAAAGTGCTTTCCATCACATTGTCAGAAAAAAGACCATACATTTTCACGTTCGAACCAGAAGGATTTAGAAATTGATGAAGTAGAGGAATTTCTAGAAGATAAAAATGTTCAGACTCCTCATTGTAAACTCCAGAGTTATCAAGAAAATGTAAAAACAACACCACCTTTACAAGACAGTGCCAGCCAAACATGTGAATCCATGTGCATGGAGAAGAATGCTGCTCTGGCTTTGCCATCTTTATGCCCCAAATACAGAAAATTCCAAAAGGCATTTGGAACTGACCGAGTCCGAGCTGTGGAATCTGGTGTCAAAGACGTTCAGGCTGCTTCCGTTCAGCCAAGTGAGACATCTGAAAATGAATGTGTAGGAGGAGTTCAGGATTGTGCAGATTTGCAGGTGATTTTGAAATGTGAAGAATCAGTGGAACACGAGGCAACAAAGAAGAAAGAACCCGCTTCTCAGTTCTCCACAGAAAAAGCAGAAGGAACTCCTTTCCCCCACGGTTCTGCAGACTCTCATGGGCTCTACTCTTTGTCTCTTTTACACTCATATGACCAATACAGTGACTTGAATTTTGCTGGTATGCAGGGCACAGCAGTGAAAGCTGAAAAACCTGTGTCAGGTACAGGTGTTCCAGAAGAGAAAACGTTTGGTGAAAGTCAAGATTTACAGTTGAAAGATGACTCAGGTCCCAAGGAGGACAGCAGCCTCACACCCAGGGATCGGAGTAGCGTGGAGCGAGAAGTAGCAGAGCACCTAGCAAAAGGCTTCTGGAGTGACGTTTGCACTACGGACTCCTCTTGCCAAATGCAGTTATCACCTGCTGTGGCCAAAGATGGCTCAGAGCAGATCTACTCTCAGAAACGGTCTGAGTGTCCCTGGTTAGGGATCAGGATCAGCGAGAGCCCAGAACCAGGTCAGAGGACTTTTACAACATTAAGTTCTGTCAGCTGCCCTTTTATGAGTACTCTGAGTACTGAAGGGTGTTCGGGCAGTTTGGAAATTGGCAATGACAGTTACGTTTCAGAACAACAGGAACCTTGTCCGTATGCTTGTGTGATTAGCTTGGGCGATGACTCTGAGACAGACACAGAAGGCGACAGTGAATCCTGCTCAGCCAGAGAACAGGAATGTGAGGTAAGCAGGGGTATGTTCTTAATTCATTGTCTTAGCAACCACTAATCAGGATTTACTGAGTCAGCTCCCACTGTACCGCCAGGGATATGAGCAGGCTCAGACAGGGAGGAGAAACTCAGACACTGATAATTACAAGACCATGTGACAAATACCAAAAGAATGAGATGACATTTGAAAGACTTCTGAATTCCTGTATTTTGAGCACGTTTGTTTCTGTAAACCGTAGAGTAGATTCACACACTGGGTGTATAACTGTATAAGTCAAATGTTGGGTCTCAGGAGGAAAAGGAATAATGATTCCTTCATCATTACTAGAACAACTCCTGGTAAAAAGTATCATATATTCAGCATTACTCATTGCCACAAGGACCTCTGGACCTGGGATTAGTCACTGAGCAATTGTTTGGCAGTGACTAATCGTAGCAATGTGGCTTTTAACATAAAGTTTTCTTGGACCTGTTTTTTCATGATCGTTGCTTTTTTTTTTTTTTGAATCCCACCCTCTTTTTCCTTTTGCCACTTAACTTTTAGTTTAACAAATATCTTAACATGGAGTTAGTGTGTTATTAATTATACCAAACTTGATCTATGTGCTCAGTAGATGAAAATTTGTATTTAGTAGCTGCTTTTTATAAAATAGTAAAATATATCCCATATAAAGGCCTGTTCTCTTTTTAACATGTTCCCACTGGCTTGAATCCCTGGTGGTACATGTATGGCTATCTCATCAGTGGTACAAATGGATCTAAACACTTTTATCAGTCTTTTTCTAATAAAATTGATAAACTACTCACTGGCCAGTCATGCATGTATCGCCAGTGGGTCGAGCCGCCCAGTGGGAAGATATGTGAATTAACGGCCCCAGTGTAAATGTGATATTTAAAAATTGGAATTTTGTTTAGTTTTTGAAGTTGAATTTTCTGTTTATAATTAGAACTAGTACTTTCTTTTTACAATTTGTAAAAATCCTTGCCACATTTTTTTCTTTCTTTGCTCTTTATTATTGTTATTATATTAATGTAAGAACTATCCTTGTAACAAAATTTTATACAATAGAGAATATTAACTGCAGGCACAATGTTGTATAGAGGTCGCTGGAACTGATAGAAATGAAGCTTTGTTAGTTGAAAAGTAAGTCTTTATATTTCCTCTTCCAGCCAGCCCCTGTATCACCATTCCATTCTGTTTCTAGGAATTTGACTATTTTTAGTAACTCCTGTTTATGGGCTTCATTGTTGGGATCATGTGGGATTTTTTCTTTAGCCTATTTCAGTTAGTGTGATGTCCTCCAGGTTCACCTACACTGTAACTAAATGCAAGGTTTCTTTTCATAAGCAGAATATTCGTCTGTTGTGATAGACACCACATTTTCTTTATTCATTTGTGCCTGAATATTGAGTTTATTTCTGTATTTCAGTCATCGTGAAAAGTGTTTCCACGAATATAGAAGTACAAATATCCCTGTAATATACTGATTCCAATTCCAAGCCTGGTGGTAGGATTGTTGGATCATATGGTAGTTTTATTTTTCAGTTTTTGAGAAGATGTCATACTGTTTTCATTACCAGTTGCACTGGTCAGTGATTGCTGTTTATTTTATTTTTTGTATTTTGGTCCTGAGAATTGATCTCAAGGCCTTGCACTTGCCAGGCAGATGCTGTGCCGGCCCTTATGCAAACCACTGTTCAAGGATTACATTAAACTACATCCCAGCATTTACCAGTGTAGAAGGATTCTCTTTTTCCACATCTTATTCCTTAGTATTTTCTTTGGTTTTGTAGCTAGCTATCAGATGAAGTAAGTTTGAAAGTGGCTGTTTCTCATTTCTCTATAAGTGGATTGGTGATTTAATGTAAAAATAATATATAGATATTATTAATTTTAAAATATGTAGATATTTACATCTCTATGTATGTGAGTTATAAGTTAAACATTTAAAGTTATGCTGTGAAAAAGTATTAAAAATAACATTACTAAGAGGTTTTGTCTGACAATTTCTAGTCTTGTATGACAACCTAATGAAGTTGCCAGACTAACCAATATTCTTTTTTTATTTAAAAGAAAAAGTTATCTTTTCTGTTTTCCAAAACAGAAAGGTTGAAAGTGACTCTAAAATATTAATACAATTAAATTTTTTCTAAATTGGCAAGTATAATATGTAGCTTTTAAAATGAAATATGTATAAAGCTATCATTTTCTTGACAGAAAAATACATTTTCTGAAGTGATTCAGAAGTTCCTAGCATAAATTATGCCAACATTAAGCAGTACTACATAGCCATATTTAAAGACTAAAATGGATTTCGTTTTTGAGAAAAAACATTAAATACTTTAGAAAGAAACTTAAAAGAGCTCTGGAGGGTATTAACACGTTTCTTATTGAAGAGTTTGTGAAAGATACTTGCTTTTCAGTTTATCTTCTGAATCCTCTCTCAGGCTAGACATTTACTATTAGTTTTATAATGGATTGTATAAAAACTGAGAATAGGGACCATTTAAAAAATCTAAGCTATTTGATTAAAAAGGGATATATTTCTTTATTTTCCCAGGTTTAAGTATAATTATAAAATAGCAATTATTTATGTTTATTTCACCTTCTAGGTAAAACTGCCATTTAATGCACAACGAATAATTTCACTGTCTCGAAATGATTTTCAATCCTTGTTAAAAATGCACAAACTGACCCCTGAACAACTAGATTGTATCCATGACATTCGCAGAAGAAGTAAGAACAGAATTGCTGCACAGCGCTGTCGGAAGAGAAAACTGGACTGTATACAGAATCTTGAATCAGAAATTGAGAAGCTGGTAAGTTCATGAGTATATTATTTAAATTCCAAAACTTTTTTTTTTTAATAGAGGAAATTGCTATGTCAATTCCTAGGTGTGAGTTAATGCACAATTACATATTAATTTAAAAATGTAAGTTACTGTTTTAAGATAACTTACATGATATTTTTAGAAAGAGTAAGAAAAATAGGGTTTTTACTGACTTTACTTATGTAAGCTTTTAAAAATTATTTTAAAAATTTTATTAGAGGGCTGGCAAGATAGCTCAGTGAATTAAGTGCCTGCTTAGGAAAGCACAGGGACCTGGGCTTCGATCCCCGGCACCACATGTTGTACCAGCCCTATCCCTAGACATGCTGAGTTGGCCGCCGAGTCTGGGCGTAGTGGTGCAAGCCTGTAATCCCAGTGCTGGGGAGGCTAAAGACAGGAGTCCAAGCTGTGGAGTGAGACTCTGTACCGAGTACCTTTAAAAAAAAAAAAATTATTAGTACATATTTGCAGTACATAATGATTACAGTCATCTGGGAAAGTTAGTACATGAACATAACACATCCTACTTTTAACTCTTGACTACATTTCTTAAATTACTTTTAAACTAATGATTGTAATGTTTGCGTAAAGATTAAAGAAATTAGAAAACATTTTAATTTTTTGGTGATAAGTTTAGTGTCTGTATTGGGTAGTGTTTAGTAGTCCAAATGAAGTGAACTGAATTACCTGTTTTGATGACATCAGAAACAGATCAACCTGTCTTTCATCCAAAGAAGAAAATTCTGCTTGGAGGTAGTAATCAAAATAGAACATTTTAAGATCAAATGAGCTCCTAGTTGAGAATAGTGCTTGATTATTGACTCTTTCTGTTCTAGCATCAATAGGTAGGTTAGCTGAAAAATAGTTCAATTTACTTCTACTTTCCTTTTCCCTTAGCGGTTGGTGGAATGAAATATTGTATGAAAGGATAGCTGTGAGGGCACAGCCCAGCTAAGGACAAACACTGTGGGTCAAGCAAAATCAAGCAACAGGGAAACAGCATAGAAGTAGTAAACACATTCCTTGAATATTCAGTTGTGTGACTTTGTTAATTATCACTGAAAATTTAAAGGCTTGAAATACGAGCATGAGTGGCATTAAGCAGTACAATCATTTATATGCCTTCAGGGAAAATCAAAAAATCTTACTATGTTTTATTTGTGTACTTTAGGCAAAAAGATGAAGTATAACTATGTACAAAGATAAAGAAACCAGATGTTTTGCAAATGTAGACATGAGAAATACTGAAAAAAGAAAGAAATCTGTGTATTTTTTCTCCAGTACTGGGGATTGAAGTCAGGACCATCAAACTAAACTGTATCTTATACCCCTGTTATTTTTTAAAGTTTGAAACAGGGTTTTTCTAAGTCATTAAGTTGTCCACATTGGGCTCAAACTTACTTTGTTCCTGCCTCAGCCTCCCAGAGTGGGATGATTGTAGACATGTACTGCCAAACCTTGCTCTGTGTGATACTTTTGAAAAATTAAAGTGGCTCCAGCAAAAGAGGAAATGTTGCATAGTCAGCAATACTTAGTGTTTTTGTAATGTGTATCAGTTATACTTTTAAACATTAGTATTTTTTATCTTTAAAAACAAAAGCTTTTTTGTCTTTAAATCTTATTTATTTGATACAGGGTCTCACTACGCAGTTCAGACTTGTAGTGATCCTCCTATCTCGGCCTCCCCAGCATTGAGATTGTAGGCATGTGTCACCATGACCAATTTCGATAACCAGCATGGTGCCCCTTAGGCTGGCATGACATATAGTACCAAGGGATCAATCTCAGTGTCCTTGCAATTGCCAGGCAAATGCTTAGACCACTGAGCTATCTTCCCAGCCCTAGTATTCTTTATTAACTTTGAATTAAACACTTACCTGCATATAGGTGGAATATAACATTTTAAACAGAAATGATAGTTCTACATAGAGATGCTTTCATACTGTTGGATTATGTGTAGCTATTTCTGTTTCTTACAGTTTTCTGTCTTTTCACTCACCTAGTTATAATTTATAGGTGTCAGTAGAATTAATCATTTTCTTACTGTCCTACAAATAAAAACAGGGAAAAATCAAGATCAAGAATTGCTTTACAGTAACTTTATTTTATACATATTTACTCAGCAGGTGTGTTTAGAACTATTACCCATTAGATAATTATTTCCTGGCTCAAAGGTCTCATTTATATTTTTTGATTGAAGAAAGACATTGGTTGTTGAATAACTGTTATTTTCAGCTATTTAGGATGAAGGTGTATTGCTACATACTTTTTGGCTTTTATCTCTTCTGCTTTTGCTTCAGCAGAGAGGCAGAGATACAGGGATTAAAAGTGGGGAAGGCTGTCACAAATATTTCGTACCTCTGAGTAAACTGTGTGATTTCTGAAAACTGTGCTTCACATTTTTCATCTGTAGATGAGATAATGTTATTTCCTAGTTTCCAGCAAAGGTGCTCATTTATGAAGAGTGAATGAGTTAGTATTTATAAGTAACAGATAACAGTGCCTGGCACAGGGTAAGCACCCAGGAAATACTATGTACTTCTTATTATGGCCACATTGCTGCTTACCAGTGTTCAGTTTTCTCTCAGGTAGCTTCCTTCCCAGTTTAGTGTTGGGCTCCCCTCTACAGTACCACTGGCATCCTTTTTTTTTTTTTTTTTTTTTTTCTTTGCAACAAGCCATCTGTTTATTTGTATACAGCATTTGTATTCACATTTAAGTATATCAATCAACTAAAAACCCTCAGAATTCGTAACACAGTAAATAAGAATATTGACAAGACATACGCTTTGTGAAAACCAAGGAGTTAATGAGCTTTTGAACCTCTTTAGTTTAATCTTCTCTAGTCCCAGTGAGACCTCTCTGGTGAGGTACAGTACATGACTAATTTACATTGATTCTTGCTACTTCCAAGCTCAGACCATGAAACAGCAATAGGTAGTAGATGCATTAGTTGCATAGCAGTTGTACCAGTATGATCTTTTATTTAAGGAACCTTTACTAACCTATGGTTAGTAAGCTAGTAATTTACCAGTAACAAAACTATTGTGGATTCCTACATGGTGTATAAAATGATGAACCTTTCTTTTTTTTTTCTCCATAATTTTATTGAGAAACAAATAGCAATGAGACAGTTTAAAAACAAATTGGCAGGACAGTTTCAATAATTAACACATTGCATACTGTCTTCCTAGTGGTTATTTGCTGTACAAGATGCAGACATAATATCCTATTTACAAACACTGTTACAACAAATCCCTCTATTTATTAAGAGAATGTAACTATATATCTATGCTAAACCTTTTTTTTTT